CATCCCCATGCACATACACATATTTATTTTCCTAGTCGACTACATACAAACTGTGTATTTCTCAAACACTATCATAAAAGAGTTTGAACATCACTACCTGAGGGGTTATCAGAAAAAAATGTTTACGGGGCTTTTCTCTAGCCATCTGTGGAGATTATGGATTAAGACTTGCTCAGAATAAGTTCACTGTTGTCTGTAGCTTTCTGCATAATGCTTGAAATCACACTCAGTGATGTTTAAATTGGTCAGTTTTTCTGTGGATATTTGACCCTCAGCAAACTCATTTGTGAACTGATGAGTTAGTGAGAAGGAAGACTGATTAGCTGCAGGGTGTATTCATGTGTGTGCTTCTGTACTCTTCTGATGGTACTTTGATATGTTCCCTTTTATTTCTACTTTTATTATTGACTGTATCTTATGGTTCCTATTTGTAATTCATCAGCATTCAGTGACAGTGACATATGTGGTAAACACTGTTGATCCACTTTAAATAAATTTTTAAAATATTTTCAAGAATGAATATTTTTTCTTATCAACTTTCCTTAAGTGCTTCAAGGAGTCGAATGCAATTCAATATTAGTAGTTGATGTTAGATCATACTGGGCTATAATCCTGCTAAATTCCTAATCATACTAACTGTTGTTATGCCTCAGCTTTTATGTCACCATAATGCTTAGATAAATGACACAATGACCAAGACATAGAAAGAAGGATTCTGAGATATTGACATTTTTTATTTCCAAATTTTACTTTAAGTTCAAGGGTACATGTTCAGGATATGCAAGTTTGTTACATAGGTAAATGTGTGCCACGGTGATTTATTGCACAGATCATCACATCACCCCAGTATTAAGTCCAGCATCCACAAGCTGTTCTTCATGATCTTCTCCCTCCGCCCACCCCCACACTCCAGTAGGCCCCAGTGTGTGATGCTTCTCCCATGTGTCCATGTGTTTTCTCATTTAGCTCCTACTTATAAGTGAGAACATCTGGTATTCGGTTTTCTGTTCCTCGTTAGTTTGCTAAGTATAATGGGCACTGCCACCATCTGTGTCCCTACCAAGGACATGATCTCACTCTTTTATGGCTGCATAGTATTCCACAGTATATATGTACCCCATTTTCTTGATCCAGTTTATCACTGATGGGATGGACATATCAGATATCACAAAGACACTTGGTACTTGCTGTGGGAAATAGTGCGCTGTGATGGGGCAGACAGACAAACAGAAGAGCAGTTGAAGTGCAGAGGAGAAACGCAGGGAGGGGAACCAGAGGAATGAAAAACAATTAATGTAGTGGCCATGAGGCAGGAGCAAACACCACAACTTTTTTTTTAATTTATTTTATTGCATTTTAGGTTTGGGGGTACATGTGAAGGACATGCAAAATTGTTGCATAGGTACACACGTGGCAGTGTGATTTGCTGCCTTCCTCCCCATCACCCATATTTGGCATTTCTCCCCATGCTATCTCTCCCCAGCTCCCCACCCCCCACTGTCCCTCCCCTATTTCCCCCCAACAGACTCCAGTGTGTAGTGCTCCCCTCCCTGTGTCCATGCGTTCTCATTGTTCAACACCCGCCTATGAGTGAGAACATGTGGCAAACACAACTTTTTTAAAAGAGAATCTTTATCCATTGCCTTTGCCCCTTTTCTGAAAATCAGCTTATTATGTTTGTGAGTCTGTTGCTGGACCCTATTTTCATCTGTTGATTTTTCCCCAATACCACACTGTCGTGAACACTGGAGAAGTAACACGATTGCCGTGTGGGGCTGAATGATTAAAAATCATAATAAATAGCTTCATACAATCCTCCTAACACTAGGTAGCGCCCTCACCTCAGCTGAGGATCCCATGCCTCCCACCCTCTCATGGGCTTTGCTCCTGCATGATCACTCCTCTCTCTTGAATCATCAACAGCTCCCTCTATATGGGATCAATACCCAATCCAAGGGGGATCTCACCTTCTTGCAATTCATTGATAACATAATCAATAAATAAATAAAGTAGAATTAATGTGAATCTTGACATCATGTAGGCTGAATTCCCCAAAGTTTTGGATATTCTGGTTCAATTTCCTTTGTAGATAATTTTGAAAATTGACAGTAATGAAGTGTGTTGCATAAGCTCGTGCTGTTTTCCTCTGCCAGACAGTTGATAAATGTGTTAGTAGCTACAGAAAGACATGAGGGAAGGTGAGTTTTCCCTTAGTTTGAGAAATGATCCAATGTAGATGGAGCAGTTGATGGTTCAGGCGGCATGAGTGATCAATCATCGTAGGAGCAAAGCCCATGACAAGGTGGGAGGCATGGTATACTTACCTGAAGTGAGGGGGCTGGCTTGAGTTAGGAGTATTGCATGCAGAAGGGCAGCAGAGAGTGTCTGTGAATCACTGAAGGTGAGGGTGGCCTTGGGGGTCCCTGACACAGTGGCAGCAACAGTATGATTCTCCAGCAAGACCCTGACTCACTAAAATATGGTGAAAGCTTTCTTTGAATACAGGAAGAGTCAAGGCATAGAGATAATAAAGTTGTCACTCTTGGGAGACTATGGATTTCCCTATAGTATGAAGCAATAGCCGAGCTATTGTCTATTATGAAAAATACATGTACTCACAACTTTTAAAAAGCATACAAGTGTGAATTAATTGAGTGTACAGCATGTATAAAAAGCATGTATAAATATTGACAGATATGGAAGGGTCACTTGAGGCCATGTGTTTGAAAGCAGCCTGAGCAACACATTGACACCCCGCATGTAAATATATATATATATATATATATATATATATATATATATATATAATACATTAGGTGGGTGTTGTGGTGGTCACATGCACTCTCAGCTGTAACACTCTCACATGTAACACGGAAGGTTACAGTGTGAGGAGGATTGGTTGAGCCCAAGAGATGGAAACTGCAGAGAAGCATGGTCATGCCACTGCCCTCCACCATGGGCAACAGAAAAATACCCTGAGGAAAAAAAAAGCATGTGTAAATGTAGACATAAAATTCTTTATTTCTGTCACAAAAGGTCTTTCTAAGACACACCCCCTACTAAGGGTAACATACAACTCTCTCTTTTCTACGTTTCTGAATCCATGAGAATGGGTGGGCAAGGAACCAAAAAAAATGTCTCGCGTCCCTTTCTTTCTACTACAAAGAACCTGGGATTCGGTGAGGGAACAGTGGGAAAACCCTGGCCAGACCTGCATGTGCCTGACTCAGTGTGCATGCCCCTTGCTGCACAAGTCCCTTTGTGGGCATGCACTTCGTCTGTCTGCCTTCTGTCTCTGCAGAGCTGTGCAAGGCGACGTAGTGACTTCCTTCTGCGGTGCCCACTAGGACTCAGCCAGTAGGTTCGCAGATCAGTCCTCCCAGAGTTGAAGTGTGAGAGGGTGTGAGGAGGAGCCCGCGGGCACGGTCCACGGCCTCCTAGGGGAAAGGATCTTGCGGTCCCTGTCCTTCTTCTAACAGGCCAAGATGCAGCATTGTCCTTGCTGTAGTGGGGGTCCTGGACAGGGAAGGCAGCAGGTTCATAGGGCAGAAGAGGGCCTCGTGAACATAGAGTGAGTTTTGAAGGGGAAACTCTTTGTGGTATTTGAGTCCCGGAAGCACAGGAAACCACCCACAGAGGGCACATTCTGAAGTCCTCAGTGGGGACCTGGGACAGGGCACAGGACTGCTAGGTGCAGGTGGGGTGGGGTAGGCGGGGTACGGCCGGCCATGGCAAGAAGGCAGGGCCACAACCCACAAGGCAGGCACCAACCTCACTGCGCATGCTCTTGGTGTGCCCACCTGCCTCAGTGGGCATGTTCACTGGGCGTCTTCCCATCGGCCTCTTCACCTCGTGGTGAACGTCGCAGAGCTGTGAGGGTGTGAGGGTTACTTTACTGCAGTCCAGACCCTTTCTACCACTGCAGACCAGTCCTCACAGGAGTGGAAGTGTGAGTGAGTGTGAGGAGGAGCTTGTGGTTTTCCAGGGCATGGGGCAGTGTGGTCCGTGGCCTCCCACGTAAAGAATCTTGAGGTGATAGTCCTCCTCATGCTGGGGCACCATCTTGAGCCTTGTGGTGGGTTCCGAACGAGGGAGGAAGTTGCACTGTGGAGTTGCGGGGTCAAGTGAAGATGGGCAGACCATTAGGGGTGCTTTTGGAGGTATCCAAGTCTTGAAAGGGCCTGGAACCCCAGAAAGAGGACATATTCCAGGCTCCTTCCTAAGGACTCGGGAAAGGGCTGGGTGGGAGGTAAGGAGAGGATCTGGAACACAGTGGGTTAGAGATGGGAGCTCACAGCTATATAGACCGCTTGGCACAGGTGTCCAGTGAGGAGCGCCCAGGGCTTCGTCTCAGTTTCTCAGCTCTACAGTGGAGGTTCGAATGGGTGGGACCCTGCGTTCCAACAAAACTTGATTTTAGGTGGGAAATGGGCCTAGCAGATGGGTTTGTGATAAAAGCCGTGATCACTGCAGTTTTAATTCACCAGCTGTATTTTTCTAAAGATCTCCACGATGAAGAGTCCAGTTGTGAAACCAACCTCATTGGAAATAACCCTGTGTCATTGGCCAGGAGCCTTAAGACATTGCTTAGGTAGCTTGACCAATTGAAGGGCGTGTGCAAGCATTCGATTCAGAAGGCGCACACACTCACTTGCCCCAAGACTTACTTTCAAAGTATTACAAAATGTTTTGTAAAAATTGCAAGTTGACATTTCACTATGGAAGTGATCAAATATACCTACCCTGTCAAGTGCATTTTCCCAATCACAGCTTTCTGTTTGCATTGTGAAATATGAATTGACAAGGAAGATCAAGATAGGCCTAGACCAAGACCATATGTACAATGGATTCAGCCGGTTAGGCCCACAGGCAGATCCCACTGGAAGTTGAAGTGTGAGTGAGGGTGAGGAGGAGACAGCAAGCTTCCGAGGGTCGGGCCTCTTGGTCGATGACTACAAGGGAGAAGGGCCATGAGGCTGTCGTCCTTCTCATGCGGCTCCATGGCTGTGGGCCTTCTTGTGTTGTCGCAGTCAGAACGAACTAAAAAGAAGGGCCTTCGAGTGGGCGGCAGGGGCAGGGAGCAGCAATTAGGTGAAGCTAGGGTGATGCCGAGGTGCTGTTGTCAGTATCCAAGTCCCAGAAACGCCTGGAACCCCTAACAGAGGACAGATTCCGTACTCCTCAAGGGGGATCAGGGCTGCGACGGTGTGGGCAGTAAGGAAGAGGTCTGGAAAGTGGTAACGCTCTGGGCTGGTGTTCACAGCCCCAGGGTTTGTTTAGCGAATCTCAGAGGTGCCAGCCCGGTGAGGATCCCCCACAACTGTGTGGCAACTTCTCAACTCCATCTTGGAAGTTCGAGTGGGTGGTCGGGGCTCTCCATTCCAACAAAACTTCATTTTGGAAGGGAAGTGGGCCTAGCAAATGGGTGTATGACAAAAGCCATGGGCATTTTAATTTTAATTCTCAAGCCGTATTTTCTTAAATGTCTCACTAATAAGAGACCAGTTATGAAACAAAACCTCATTGGAAATAGTGTGTGTCTCTTGCCATGAGTCCTAAGACATTGCTCAGCTAGCTTGATAAACTTAATTGGTTGTGCAAGTATTCGATTCAGAAGGCATACACACTAATACATGCCCTCTGACTGACTTTTCAATGTATTACCAAATTTTTAAAAATTGCAAATTAAAATATGGCCTTGGAAGTGCTCAAATATAGTATCTTCTCACGTGTGTTTTTCCGGTCACAGTATTCTGGGGGTTTTTTTGTTTTTGGTTTTGTTTGGTTTGGTTTGATTTTTTTGAGACAGAGTTTTGCTTTTATTGCCCAGGCTGGAATGCAATGGCGCAATCTCGGCTGCCTGCAGCCCTCACCTCCGGAGTTCAAGTGATTCTCCTGCCTCTGACTCCCTACTAGCTGGGATTACAGGCACCTGCCTGCAAGCCTGGCTAAGTTTTTGTATTTTTAGTAGAGACGGGGTTTCACCATGTTAGCCAGGCTGGCCTTGAACTCCTGACCTCAAGTCATCCACCAGCTTCTGCTTCCTAAAGTGCACACTGTTCTATTTGCAGAGTGAAATATGAGTGGGCGAGAAAGAAAACATAGACCAATACGACACGTGCGACTTGTTCAGCTGGCTCGGCCTGCCGTGAGTGATTTAACATTTGATGTTTTCTATTAGCAGAATTTTGTTGTTGTTGTTGTTGTTGTGTTGTAGAATTAGTTTAGATATACTGATGAAGTTCTCCCATGTTGATAAAAAGTGATCATGGCAGCTCATGGAGGAAAGAGTAACCCAGAGGACTACATACTAGTTTTGTCTGGATGTGTGATCTTGTGTTCCCCAGATTTGACTGGTGATTTCCTCCTCATGCTTATTTATAGCACTTTTTACACATTCAACTCAATGTAAATTAAAATGGCTTCCAAAGCTATTGAGGGTAACAGTCTTAGAGTTATCTCTCTATGAGAAGAGTGACTTTATGAAGAATAAGTATGTGGAATAGTGTTGGGATAGTGTTGGGGCATGTCGTTAAACATGCGTATGATCAGAAGTATCCATGTAATGTGTATATTCATATTATTGACATGCAATGATATGAATTTTTTTTATCTGCACACACACACACACACACACACACACACACACGCACCCCTTTTCCCAGGAGCCCAGTGTGCCAAAGCCTCAACGAGAAGAACCACCAGCTGAAAGTCAGGATCATACACCTGGTCAGAATAGTGAAGAAGATCAGGGTGGAGCTGAGATTCAAGGTGCTTGGAAGGGTAAGAAAGAATGTGTATGGGGGGAGGAGGCCTATGTGTATGTCATGCCTTATGACATGACCAGTAACAGGAGAAAAGAAAACATTATGAAAGAATCTCAAACATTTATTGAGAGTTGGCTAGAAATATGATGTTTATAGTTTGCAGCTTCCTGAAGTCCCTGGGTATGATAAATCTTCTCTTTTTCTTCAAGATGCATTTCATATGCTTGAAAATACACTCCTTCCTAAATCAGATGAAACCATTTAATTGGTTGTATGAAAATGTACATTATTGCACGAATTTAATTTGATCTTCTTAGGATGTTGCAGTGTGATCTTCTCAGCCATGGTGTCAACAGTGTTGTAAGCACCTTTTAATAGTACATGGTGTGCCAAGTCACCCTACCTTATAACACCCTGAATAAAGCCCATTTGCAAAGGGATGTTAGCCTCATTTTATAAATAAGAAAACTGCGGCCAGGCGCAGTGTCTCACACATGTAATCCCAGCATTCTGGGAGGCCGAGGCAGACAGATCACCTGAGGTCAGGTGTCTGAGAACAGCCTGGCCAATATGCTGAAAACCCATCTCTACTAAAAATCCAAAATGTAGCTGGGCGTTATGGCACATGTCTGTAATCCCAGCTAAGCCTGCTGAGACAGGAGAATCGCTTGAGCCCAGACAGAGGAGGTCGCAGTGAGGCGAGATCACACCATTGCATTCCAGCCTGGGAGACAGAGTGAGACTACATCTCTAAATAAATAAGAAAACTGAGGCTCAGAGAGTGAGACTTACCAAGAACACTGACTCATGGAGAAAGAATTTATATTTTGTTCCAAGGTTTGCATTCTTCCCACCATCTATGTTAGAAAATGTGAATGATTTTGCTTAAAAATTCTTAATACTCAAATGTGTCTGTACTGTAACATATTTCAGTATTGGCTCAAGACTAAATGCAGTTCAGTGAAGCAGGATAGTAACTCCAGAAAAGAGGCCAATGAATGACAGCCACTGTTTCCTTTGATGTGTATTTTTGATGGTATGTTTGGTAAAAGATGGATAATTCAGTACACTGGCATACAGGTAACCATATTAGTAGGATTTTGAAGGGGCTTTTAAAAGTCATTTCACTATTTTTATAATTAGAAATCTCAAAGTCTGATAAGATTATCATGAAACAAATTGTTTCCTCAACAGAGAGTGTTATCAAAATGAAGACAGACAGAATTTGGGCCATGGATTATTTTAGCAATTCCTTGTTAAAGGAGTTCCAGAAAATGACTAATCAACAATGCCCATTAATTTCTCTGCACTTCAGTTACCATACTCTCATTGGAAGACAGTAATTTTGCTGTTGTATTTCGTACATTTTCTTAATTACATTCATGTATGGAAAGTCACATATAGGGCCTTTGGACCTAAGCATTACTTTAAGTTTAAACCCAACATTTTCAAGGTACCTCAACAGGGGATGATTGTCACGACTATACGATTTCTCATAGGCCCACCAATACACTGATGTACTCCTTCAGAAAGTTACATTTAAGTTTTAATTAAAATGCCATCCACGGGGCAGTCTTCAGATTTCTTAGGTAGCTGAGTTACTTCAGATTTCCTAGGTAGCTGTGTGTTTATAATAAACAATGGTAAAGTATGGGAAATGTAGGTGTGGTGTGATTTATCCTCAGATTGTCATTTAAGATAAGATATCATAATACAGGAAGACAAAGGCGAGACATCTTTGCATCGCATTTGCATCACAGTAGCCTACAGGCTTTTATTTCATAACACTGAGGAAAAGAATAGGATTATTTCCTTATTTATCATTCTTGTTTGGGTGATCCAATCTGTATCCTTTGTATTTTTTAGTGCCTGACCTGGAAGCTGATCTCCAGGAGCTGTCTCAGTCAAAGACTGGGGATGAATGCAGAGATGGTCCTGATGTCCAGGGAAAGAGTGTACCAAAATCAGAGCAGTGCAAAATGCCAGAAGGAGGTATGTTATACATTAAGATTCAAAATTACATGCTTTCTGTATTGCACAATATTTTACTTTTAATAAAAAAGAGCATTACTGCCCCTTGAGAAACAGTTCAAATGCAGACTTTCTTTGGAAGCACCCCAGAAGCCTAACTGCAAAACTGAAACACTATCAGATACAGACAGAAATTGGGTCAAAGCCATACTGAATCATCAAATGGAAAAGCATTTTCTTACTTCTGAGTATAACTAACAGCTAACACTTTTCAGATTATTTTCTAATTTCTCCTTTTGTCAAATACGTAATACATTTATAATACCACCTTGCATGAGATAAACTGACCCCCAAGGAGATTCTAGTGCCAGCTCTAACATAATTTGTGAGATTCTGGACAAATCACGTAAATCCTACACCCATTTTTGCTTTTATTGAAAGTAATGCATGCATATCAGATAGATTAAAATCCATTTCAGTGCTGCTTTCTGCATGCTCTGGTTTTGTTGGGGAGAATACAAAGATATTCTCATTTTCATGATTTTTTTATCATAACAATCAGCTTCAGTCCAATCATAATATCTGAGTTGACATTTTATTGCTCCTAAGAAAATGAACCAGCATTCTGCTTGATGTTCGTTTTCCTATATGGAGACCTTCATGAGTGTTCCTGGATTTTGTCAAATCTTGAATTCTCTTAGGCTCATAAGCAATGATTGCATTTTTTTTTTCACACAGAGTCTTGCTCTGTCACCCAAGCTGGAGTGCAGTGGTCCGATCTTTGTTCACTGCAACCTCCACCTCCTGGGTTCAAGCAATTCTCATGCCTCAGCCTCCCATGTAACTGGGAATGCAGATGTTTGCAACCGTGCGTAATTTTTGTATTTTTAGTAGAGACGGGGTTTCACCATGTTGGCCAGCCTGCGCTCAAACTCCTGATCTCAAGTGATCCACCAGCCCCGGACTCCCAAACTGCTGGGATTATAGGCATGAGCCACCTCCCTTGCTGAACCCAATGATTGCATTTTAAAGTCTTCCCACAGTGAAGCTTTGAATGACTGAATAATAAAATGGAAAGAGACAGTCATGTTTTGTGGCCCGTGAAGTAGGGATCATGCATGAAGGTCAGTGATGCTCAAGCTGGTTATAAGACGCCTGTGCTAAGCATGATCCCTTCCCTCCTGTCAGTCTTCGTGAGCTACTGTGTGTAATTAGATTGAAGACACACAGGATAACCTCTAACCATATCAGAGGTTATATATTACAGGTTCCTGCCTTGAGTCTTCAAATGATAAGGCTTAAAGTTCAAAGACTATAACGTACTAAGTCCTGAGTAGTCTATGGAAGTATCTATTACACATATTTTCCAAATTGCTGACTTAATTAGAAGAACTTCTGAATTTAAAGGAAGCACTACATGTTTAGGGGAGAAATTACCTAAATGTTTGTACTCTACACTGCTGAACAACTCCATTAGACTATTTACATTAAAAGAATGTTTTCAAAAAAATTCCAGGGGCCTATTGAACAAGCCTCAGTTGGATTCTTAGGACAGTCATAGCATTAAATATATACCTTATTAAAATAGACAGCTAATTACATGGTACAAGAAAATGATATTGAGGAATAAATAATAAATGAGTTACCGAAGAAACATAAGGGAAAAGGAAACAGGCAGTCAATGAAAGGTACAAATCATTAACAAAAGGAAAACTAGTCCAAAAGTAATACATTTAATAGATTGTTTCTGAGAAATAGCTAGGAAGGGAGAATCCAGTAAACAATCTTGAAGAAAATGGAAAAGGCACAACATAGAATATGAATAAGACACAGGTATTGAATGTTGGGCATAATTGAAAGGGAATACATTCTTGAACACTAATATTTTCAGAGTGTGTGGATCTAATGGTTGATATGCTAGGAATGCCTACATTTAATATGTCCCTGTAATACCTGAATACCTGAACATCACAAAGACTGTGGAAGAACTTGTGAAATTTGCCAGTTGTCCCTCAAAAATAGTTACTTTGAGCTTCTCCAGATGTCTTACTCTCCGTTTTCATTTCCCTGTCCATTTTTTCACACTAGTTATGATGTATATCTCCTTCACATTTTAATATCAATCATGATAGTGATACCTTAAAACTTATATAATCATTTAATTAATTATACAAACCAGAATACTTTCTGGTGAAAAATGTGTCATTCATATTGACATGAGAACTATAGGTGAAAATTAGATACAAATGGTTAGTGTATGTTAAAAAAGAACAAAGAAGGGTAAACTAGCTCAAAACAATATTATTGCACTTTCACACAATAGAGAATAAACAAACACAAAACTATCCTTTCTGTCATTTCATGTATGTGTTTCCTAATGTGACATTAACTGTTTTCTCACAAGATAGTTTTCAGACTATTTGCAGGAGCCTGTTGGACATCTAGGCCATAGTTTCAAGCCAAAACATTAAATTATACACTTTTTCTGAAGGAATTTTTTCAGAAATTCCTTCTGTTTCTTAGGGTTTTTTGTGTTCTGGTTGCATTTTGAGTAAAACTCTACACAGTGTTTGCCATCTTCTTCAAGCACCTTTTAACAGGTTCACTTGATTTAATGGATTGTGAGCTCGGACTACCATTTGGTTTTCTTCTAGCACTAAAAGCAGAGTATGTTTTTAAAATGTTGCTAATGTATATTGTGCTTGGAAGTGTATCTTCAAGGTCTCTACAGAGGTCTCGTTAAATGTTAGCCATAGGGGGACACAGGCTTCTGGTTTTAGTCCATTCTATAAAAGTAAAACTTTGGTGTCCTTTGCATACTTTAATTTCATCTGAACACAGTTAAGCTAGTAATGTTCCCTCCTGTTATGTTTCTGTTGTAGGGAAAGGGAAACCACAGGATTAAATGAAGACAAGCTGAAAGAACGCAAACTGAATTCATCCGAGATATTTGACTTTAAAAAAACTCAATAAATCTTTCCAGTTTTCTCCAAAGAAGTATTGCACATCTTTTATTCATTTATTCTCATATATTAGACACCATTGGAATTTTTGGCCACATGCAGTGGCCTACACCTGTAGTCCAAGCACATTGGGATGTAAAGGCAGGATTGCTTACACTTGGGAGATTGAGACGTGCTGGGGCAACATGAAAAAACCCCTCTCAACAAAAATAAATGAATGAATGTATGAATGTATGCATGTATGTATGTATGTGTAGTTCCAGCTACTCTGGAGCCTGAGGTGGGACAGTCCCTTGAGCCTAGGAGGTTGAGGATGCAGGTAGTCATATTTACACCACTGCAGCTCCAGCCTGGGTGAATGAGACTCTGTCTGAATAAAAAATAGTATCATTTTTGCAACTTTGCACTCTGATTGAGCTGGTATACACCTGTGTGATATTGTGAAATATATATTTGGTCCTGGACCCTGCTTACTGTCATACAACTACAGTTTTTAGAATCTTCAAATAGTGATTTTTTTTGTATGCTAGTGAGTTGACTGATGGCTGGTAGCTCCAAGGTAGCTCTAGGATGGGGGCTTAGAGGGTTGGGACTTGCAGCCCCATCCCCAACCTTCAGGACAGGCAGAGGGGCTGAGGTTAAGCTGATTTCCAATGCTGAGCCAACAGTTTAATCAGTCATGCCTATATGATGAAAACCTCCCTCAAACCCCAAAAGGACAGGGTTCAGAGGGCTTCCGCCTAGCTGAACACATGGAGAGTATCATGTCCACAGAGGCCTTGGAATCCACCTGCCTCTTCCGTCATTTCTTTCCCTGTGTATTGCTTTACCTTCATCCTTTGTTAGGATATCCCATTTGCCACAAAATGTGTGAGAATTCCCTAAGATATAGACCTGAATGACAGAACTACGGCCTAGGTAGAAGAAAGGGGAAAGCAACCAGGGAACCTCGCTGAAGCAAAATTACTTGGATTCCACCTACACTGTCTCCTTACAGGCTATGGCATGACACAGCCATGGGATTCCATCCTGCTTCTCACACACTGGCTTTGAGATGGTGGGCAAGACACGTATATCCTGTCAGACTGTTTCCCCATTTCTAAAGTCGAAATTAGAATATTTACACTAAATACTTGCTGTGAAGAATAAATGAAGTAACATAGGAAGCAGGCATTACGTTGCAGATAAATTTACTAGTTATCGTTCCATAATCCCTTTAAAATTTCAAATATTTTCATTCCAACTACATCTCTAGTGTGTAATAACTGCTTTGGAATTTCAAGTAGGAATATCAAGCTACCTTTATAAATGCCTTTGACTTCAGAAATTTATTTGATTTAAATATGTAAATGAAATACCAGTGAGGTTGGTATCAGACATGGCATGGATTCTGAAGGTGATTTGTAAATAACCGAGGTGTGACAAGGCCAACCCTATGTCAGTAGTATGTGCCGAAAACTTATTTAGTGTATGTGATGCCATGAAGAATAAGTCTATTCTGGTCAGGCAACACCACACAACTCAATGTCATAGTGTATCAAGAGCTCACGCAGTCCCTAAGCAGCCCTGTGGTGACTAACAGGGCCACAAGGATCGCCAGTGCAGCTGTTATTTTGGCTTGTCATATATTCATAAATTCAGCAGCTAAGAAGACTAAGTCCAAATAGAATGAAGTGGTTGATTACTTACAGATGCAGCAAAGGCAAGATCAGCATCGTGTCAGTACTGTGTCCCTAGACCCACAGTACAACACTGAATCAGAGATACTCAGTGACAGCACAGATGGTAGGTTTCTCTGCCTGTGAGGAGCCCACAGTCTTACACTAAGGCCAATTTTGAAACCACACTGAATCCTGAACCCAAGATTACACCTGACCAAGCTGCGATGTTGGGACAGCAGAGGCAACCCAGCTCCCAAACATCCCACACAGAACACCCTAGGAATGTCATCCACTCTTGTGAAGAGGAGGAACCTGTGTCAATGACTATTCTGAAATGACTGCCTTCTGACAGTTCCCCTAAACGGAAAATGCAAATCGATTGTTTGGACTGGATGAGAAACCTTAGAGGGAAAGGCCCCTCAGTAGGAGGCCACACTGGGGGCCTTGGCCAGCTCCTCCCTGACGACTGCAGTCCTATTGGGGTTGCCCTAACAAGGGTAAAGTCTTGGTGTCCAGGGGTATCACCTGTGCCCTCTGGGGTTGTTCTTCCATATACGCCTTGACTATCGCATCACTGCCTCATCCCTGGAAGGCATTCATGTCAGCTTCAGCTTCAGATTCCTGGCCAGAGTTGTGCTGAGCCTGAGTTGTGCTGTGCTTGGGGTGGATAAAAATGATTACTACAGAATCTTAGGAAGTCACCTGTCTTGGTCAGATAGACCTTCATCATTATTAGGGTTTGTATAAGGTGGCCATGATAGGAAAGCTAATGAGTCAACTTTGCTAGGCCACGATGCCTGAGAAATGTTCACTTTGACCAGGGTAGATGTCTCCTTAAAGGGTTTTCTTTTTTTTTTTTTTAATTTTATTTTTTTTCCATTTATTTATTTTACTGCATTTTAGGTTTTGGGGTACATGTGAAGAACATGCATGATTGTTGCATAGGTACACACGTGGCAGTGTGATTTGCTGCCTTCCTCCCCATCACCTACATCTGGCATCTCTCCCCTTGCTATCTCTCCCCAACTCCCCACCCCCCACCGTCCCTCCCCTATTT